GTTACAAAAACAAACAAAAAGCAGACGGGTAGTCAATAACGAGTATGCCCTCGAGTTCTAATTACAGCTTTCAACCGCCGTAGCATCGAGATGATCAAATTTCTCAAGTAGTCTTGAAGAATTGCCCAAAATTCTTCCTGAAGGGCGACTCGTAGCTCTTGGATAGTCTTTGACAACGCCGGACGAAGACGAATGAGCCTCTGGACTCCAACCCTAAGATGCTCTATAGGTTCTGAATTGTTGTTAATTAAAATCAAAAAACTCCATGCGTTCCTAAAACACTTGTATCTTCTCTCAAACAGAAGATATTGACGTGAATCCAGAACCATTGTGTTAAGAAGGGACGAATAAGAATCACACTCCAATTCAAAGTATGATCAAGCAGAAGGTTGGAGAATGGTTCTCAATAATTGTTAATAAAAATAAAAAACTCCATACCTTCCTGAAACACTTGTATCTTCTCTTTAAATATGGTTATCGATGTGAATCAAAAACCATTGTGTTGAGAAGGGATTACTTCAGTCCAAAACATAATGGAGCTGAGTTCAACCACTCACCTTTGCCACAGGGCGTTAAGAAGTTAAGGGTGAAAGAATGATTCTTCCCATTGTTGTTCCTTTTATGAACATTCTGTGGAAATTTGATTTGATTTTTGTTTGGCTAGGCTACGCTTTGTCGACGGTCTTAGAACTGCTGTCTGGAGACTCCCCTGCACTGATGAAAGTCAAAGAGCTTGAAACCGGTCTGTAGGTGTCTAGCGTGGCCTGGCTAAATCGAAATCAATGGGCATTCAGGAAAGAACAACTCGTATTAGTATTCATTTATTCGAGTCGATGATGCATAGATTTCTGGAGGATATAATTTAATGTTCTGTGTGGAATTAGCCAGGAAAGTAGTTGTTTGTCTCCCGAAATCTACCATTGTTGTTCATTTTATGAACATTAGTGTGGAAATGACTTTGAGCTCTTTGTATTTATTTGAGTGAATTAGGTTTTGAAATGAATGGTGGATGAGATAAATCAATGTAATGATGAAGAGGCCACACATTTATCACTACATAACATTTGAAATTCCGGAGGCTCTATACAATCGGTGCAACGGATGTTGTCTTACTAGCATTCCAGCGGTCACCTCTTGGTCTGATCTTATTATTCCATATTCCACTACCAGGTTATTTGATTCGTGTGTCACAAAAAAATGTATTCATGTAGATCCAGATATAAGTCAACGCCATAAATATGTATGAAAGCGGTCTTCATATAGGCGAAATGTATAATAATATGTAGACTTCATAAACCACCCCATGTTTATCTCGATAAAGGCCTTTTCAGCAACAAAATTGCGACATCGTGAAGGCAACTACCTCGGAACAGTAATGATCCGAGCAGAATGCCATAGAATAGGATATATGCGGAGGATCCAAAAAGATATAACTTTAACGTAATAAACCTCGTCGAATACATCATTGGATAGGTGTAGTCCCCGCGCGGATATATACGTTTTACAACCCCTCTCGAATACATTACAACGAATTTCCCCGAATATAAAACCACTTCAGCGCCACAGGAAATTTAAAACTACACGTTCCTTATGCAATCTTTGCCTAAGTCTATAGATTGGGTTATACAGTGTGACCCATTTCTAATGGAACCACCCCTGTATCTTATGTAATTGTTGGGTAAGGATCCTGAAATTTGCTGGAGCGAGAGATATACCAAAAATGCACTCTATGACCAAGTGGGGTCATCTTCAGTGATATACACTGCTTGCCAACAGTCATGAAACTACCCCAATTTCCGGAAAATGATATTAGGAGTCAAAATAGGTCAAAAATCACTTCAGATTTGGAATCAGGACGCCCAATTTACTAACTATTCATTTTTTCCTGGAGAATTTTCAGTTCGGAAAAATGAAATTTTGTCGCATTTTTTATGGAAGCACCCCCGTATCTCACGTAATTATTGATGTAGGATTTTGGAATTTGCCGGAGGAAGAGAAAGTCCAAAGAGTAACTAGTATACTTGACAGATACTTAAGTGTCAACTAGCCTAATTGACAGATACAAAGTGGTAACTAGTATATTTTATAGATACTTAAGTGTCAACTAGCATAATAGACAGATACTAAGTGATAAGTAGTCTTCTTGACAGATAGTAAGTGGTATCTAGTATACTTGACAGATACTTGAGTGTCAACTAGCATAATTGACAGATACTAAGTGGTATCTAGCCTACTTGACAAATACTAAGTGGTAACTAGTATACTTAGTGTCAACTGAGATGTGTCAACTAGCATAATTGACAGATAGGCCAAGAAACTCGCCATCGGCGCCATTGTCAAGAAACAAAGACGAAGAAGAAGTGAAGATCTTCAAATTTCCATCTAAGTCCGGTCTCTGGTGGTATGGTGAGATGGTGAGGCGGCTAATGATAAGTCTCAATAATAAAGTTATTATTTATTGTGTAATCAGATCAGATTGTCTTTTTATCTGTTTACTAGACTAGTTACCACTTAGTATCTGTCAATCATGCTAGTTGACACTCAAGTATCTATCAAGTATAATACTAGTTACCACTTACTATCTGTCGAGTAGGCTATTTACCACTTAGTATCTGTCGAGTATACTAGTTAACACTTAGTATCTGTCAAGTATGCTACTTACACTCATTATCTGTCAATTATAAAAAATATATATATATCATGTGGCGCTTCTACGCTTTCGTAGATTCGTCGGTCAGTCAGTTATTGAATTTTTCATGAATAAATGATTCTTTTGTATACCATATCAGCCTGGCCAGGTAGTGAGAACTTTTCATGAACATGGGCGAAGGAAACAATCGAGTGTGTAGACTACTGCAGACGAACAAAGTGAAACGGACCATTGTGTGTGGATCCTCGTATCCCATTGTGCGGGGTTATGAACCAATAAAGGCCATAAAGGCAACGAATTACTCTGGCTGATTGCTATTTGCTTCTGTCTGGGAACGTGTAGGTGTGGAGAGCAATTGAGACAATATCCCATTCTAAATAATCAAAGAGTCCGAATTCATAGAAGAGGAAATATTGTTCTATAGGCAGTGAAAATGCCGTTACGTTCAAATGATTTCGTTGTTGGTGATTACCATTTATCCAGAGCACTCAAAACAAAACTCTTACTTTGAAGGTCACATGCGAGATATAGATATTTGTATTATAACATGATCACACTGTCTCTATACCATGATGGGGGATATTCTGGAAGTCAGTTTGTTGTTGTTATCAAATTTGTTATCAATAAACTGTTGTCACAATTCCGATCAATATTTCAACAAGAAAGCAACATTTAGGCAAACTATGTATCAGTTTAATGTTTCATGTTTCACTGACACTTGATCTGATGCTTCAATACAAATGAATGAACGTTGCGGGCCGTATACAATAAAGTTCTTCGTGAAATGCTTTGAAATATGCTACTGCTATACCTGTTGAAGATCCCAGAATTCCAATCTGAAAACATTTTACCTTGACTCAAAAATATGTTCACCTCGCATTTCGTTTTGACGAAACCAAAGTACATTTCAACTTAGAAGAAGCATTGGCAACCATGAGGAAGCGTTGGCCTTCTCTTTGATTGGTTTATATTGGAGGCAATACTACACCTGCCTAATATTATGGCATATTCTGACGTGATGTAAAAGTTGAAGATTACTTAATGGGAAGATGATCACACTATCACATTTTTTCTTGTTACAATAAATCCTGAGAAGAAACTCGAATTCAAGCATTTGAATAGCCATGATTTGGAATTAGGCAGCATATTTTCATTTCATCAGTGTGATTATTCATTCAGAGTCAGCGCCACCTACTATATCTTCTTAATCTCAAATTTCTGGAAAATTGTATGCCGACGATTATAACCCAGGTAGAACACTGATATTGGTTGGATATTCGACCAATTAGGAGTGAATTTGGGAAAATATTGATTTTGAATATTGGGCCAATGAATCAATGTAAACATTTTAGGATCTTGGTGCTATATTATATTGTTTCGAGCTCTGTCCAATATTTTATTGCAATATTTTATTCCGTTTCTGCTACGAATTTCAAATTCAAGATTCGAAGCCGTTTTAGTCTAATTCGAAAAAAAAACTAGCAATATTGGTACAATTATACAATAGTATAATGTATCAGATCCATTTTTGTTTATTGTATTCCAGAATACAAAGTTGAACGAATGCTGCAGTATCTGATGCCTGTGAGCAGTTGTTTGCTGGAGACGTCCTAGTGGCGTCAGCTGTTATATTGAAGAACCAATATCAGTGCAATATCGCCGGACAATGAAATGCAATATCCATCAACCATTATGAATCTGATATTGATGCAATATTTTTTCCAAGATTGATTCGATATTGAAAATGCAATATCAGCTCATCAAGAAAATTGACATATTGCAATCGTTAATATTTCGGCAATATTAAATAGATATTGAATAAATATCGGTTGGTCACAAAATTTTAATGAATATCTGAATGAAAAATTGGTTTGATATTGGGACTATATAGAATATCCATATTCAATCTGCCAATATTGGGCTATTACGCTAAAAGTTCTAGCCAAAATGATGTTCTGCCTGAGAAGTAGCTGATCAATGCCTAGTTCGAAAAATGTTTCCACATGTACACTTGTGTCTTTTGAAAACCAATATTTGTCTACCTAACAGGAAGTTATATGGAATATGATCCGTGCTCTATTTATCTATTTGAACCCTCATTTCTCATTTCATATAAGTGGAAAACCCATGAGTTTCCACTTTCACTCGGATCGATGATTCGACATTTCCAGCATTACCATAATCCGAATAGAATAAAGTAGGGGCAGTAGAAACTAATCTGATTCGTTCAACAAACATCGTACGACATCCCGTCCATCCGTCCCTGAACACAACTATATTACTACTGATTTCACGCTCCAATTTGATCCAATCCAATAACACAGACACACTACGGCGATCCCTTATTAAATTATCGAATTACCAACTCCCAACTCCCAACTCCCAACTCCCAACTCCCAACTCCCAACTCCCAACTCACCATCCCGAAGTCTCCTTCACCGAGTTTTTCCAACAGCCTCAGCCGGTGGCGGGGGAAATCCAACAGATGTGCGACGCCCTCTAGCGGAGGACCTTCGGGTAGTTTGATGGGCGTGAAGCGACCTGGCGTAAAGTGCTGCTCTCTTCTTTCGCCCTGTAACCAAATAAATGTGACACTAACTTATTCACTAAAGGTGGAACATTTAAGAATTAACAAGTAACGCTGATGATCTAGTAATTTTAGGGAACTCCGAAATAGACATATCTAGAAAACTCAAAATCCTAGAGGAATACACCGTCGAAAATGAATTGAAAATGAATGCCAATAAAACAAAAATAATGTGTTTTTCAAAAGGTGCTCTATCTGGGAGCGACTTTCAGCTCATCATCATTTTTTCGTGAGATGGCAGTTCCATCAGCCAATAAAGTAAAACAAGCAATTGGTGCATTACTGCCCATGATGGCAAATACCAGAATAAATTCATTGCAAGGCAGAATGGAGCTTTATGAAGCAACAATTTTGAGTTGTATTCCTGTTTGGGGTTTGAAATATCATGACATCCTTGAAAGAGTAGGTACAGGTAAAATTCTTCAAAAGGGTCTTGCTACTTCCTCTTAGTTCACCAGATTATGTAGTCAGGATTGAAACTGGAAAAGTTAAGTTTTTATACAATATATTTGAATTCGTCGCCTTCCAAAATTGTGTTTTCTGAGGCAAATGTCACTAACGAATATTAACCCAAAATACAGCTGGGCACTTCAAAGTGAAGGAACATTTTGATTTTATCGACGCCTCAGACTTTCTGATTGAAATGAACACTCAGTCTTTGAGAACCCATGAAACTCATTTATTATCTAAATATTATAGCAAACTCCATGGACAAGATTGCGCCCTCCTGCAGAGATCCGAATTTCTGCTATTTTATAAACAGCTAACTGTCACAAAAGCTGAGGCTAACTATCTACATTTCCATTTGCCCATTCAGATCATTCGCACAATATCGCAGTTAAGACTATGTAATAAATATTTCATTAAATTCACCTAAAATGGAAGCTCATATAAAATAAATATGTTCAATTTGTATTTTGAATTCTGCTAAACGTTGCAGCATATTTTGTTCGATTGTCCGATTAACAATAGTCTCAGAATACCAAACTGTGATCATCTCCCGAATGGACACTCGGTGATTGACTTCATCGACAATCTTACTCCACAACTGTATAATATAGAATATACCAAAAACCAGATCACGTTCAAGAAACGAGTAGCACTTCGTGATATCATCAACTTTGCCACATTTCCTTCTTTCGTTCTTTTCAGATTTATGTTATTAATCAAAACTGTCTATATTTGCATATTTAAATAGTGACAATTATTATAATTCGCATTATACACATATTCATGTAAGCATATCCAAGTGATCATCAGAATTATAATAATAATAATAAGTTTATTCATAATAAGAATAACAATAATTATAACATCAATTACAATGAACCATATACATGACATAATCATTGATATATTAATAAGTATATAAAATATATGAATAAAATGAGAGAAATCCACAGAAGGACGAGTCCTTGTGCGTGGATTACAAATAATTAAGAATACATTTTCATAAATAAAAAAACAAACAAACAAACAAACAAAAATAATCATCATCTCGTGCATAATTATTCTCACCATTGAATTTATTTGACAGTGTAGCTTATTTATATGTAGGTATATTAAAAGAATTGGTTATTAATTCAAAATCACACAAATATTGTTGATATATTAAATGATAATGAATGATAATAGGTGAAAATAGGGTGATAGTAAATGATAATAAATGATGATAATAAATGATGATAATAAATGATGATAATAAGTGAAAGTGAATGATAATGATAATGATTAAACTTAATAAATATTGTATATATGGTTTTTCCTAATTATTATCTATAAGTTTATGAATCGAAATACGAGGCGTTTCAGATAAATGAACATTGACAAATTTTTTCAATTTATATATGGATTTGACTGATTGTATGTCGTGGGGTAAATGATTTATTGCTTTGGTCCCTAAAAATTCGTATGATCTCTGTCCAATCGATTTGGCAGCAAAAGGTAATTTATATTGATTTTTATTTCGTGTAATGTAAGAATGCTGTTGCTTCAGAAGTTGGTTTTTCTCTTTATATCTTTTCATAATCAATGCTTTATAGTGAAGTTGTCTAATATCGAATATGTTTGTTTCATTATATAGTTGTTCTGATGCACATCTAGAATTTTTGTTGAGTATTAGTTTCAGAAATCTCCTTTGTATCACTTCAAGCGGTCTTAGGTTAGTTTTCAGAACCCCTCCCCAACCTACGATGCAATACGTAATGTGACTCTGGACAAGGCCATAGTAGAGTGTTTTTTTATGTTTGAGGTCAAATATGTATTGAAATTGTCTAAATTTGTAAAGGACACATCTCAATTTTTTCACAATATAATTAATGTGGTGATTCCATCGTAAGTGAGAGTCCATCATAACTCCTAGATACTTTATATGTGTTACGGATTTAATTTGCAACTGATTCTGAATCGACAAAATATTGAAGTCTGGAAGAGACGACTGGTGGTTACAAAACGGTAGGAAAAATGTTTTATTCACATTGAGAGATAGCTTTTTGTAATCAAACCAGTCTTTTATCAACACCAAATCGCCTTCTGCTTTTTGTTTCACTATCGACCAACTCTCTCCTGTGTAAAATATAACAGTATCATCAGCAAAGCTGATGATTCTGCCAGAGTTATTGAGTGAAAACAAACCATTTACATAGATGCAAAACAGTATTGGCCCCAAGACCGTACCCTGAGGAACACCACAATCTATTATTTCTGGGTTACTTATAACTCTCCTAATCCTGACTACCTGTGTTCTATTTTCGAGGTATGATGCAATTAATTTTATTGCATTTCCTCTTATTCCATTTCTTTCTAGGGTTGATAGAAGAATTGGATGACTAACTGTGTCAAACGCTTTTGACAGATCTATAAAAACCCCTATTGATGGTTTACTATTGTCGAGGGCTCCATAGACTTGTTTGGTGAATTCAGCTAATGCATCTTGTGTACTTTTCCCATCTTGAAATCCAAACTGTGAATTGGATATCAAATTATGTTTTTTAAAATAAGAGTTCAGTCTAGTTTTCAGAAGTTTCTCAAAGATCTTGCTTAAATTTGTTATCAAAGATACTGGTCGATAGTTTGCCACATCTTCTCGATCGCCCGATTTGTAGATAGGAATAACAATTGATGATTTTAGGGAAGATGGAAAATGGCCAGTTTCTATTGTTTTATTAAATATGACTGTGATGGGTTCAGCTATATATTCTGCCACTAATTTGAAAATTTCTGCCTTCAAGTTATCCCCTCCTGGTGCTTTGTGATTTTTCAATTCTTTTATCACATTAATAACTTCTAGGCGGTCGGTTGGCGCAAGAAAGATCGAGCATTCATTTATGTTTTCTTCGAATTCATGATTTAGTGTTCTGGTTATTTTTTGTGACAATAACTTTCCTGTCTGAATATACTTCTTGTTGAATATTTCTACTATCTCCTCGAGATCGGTTACAATTTTGTCATTATGATCTTTCACGCTATTGATATCTACTTGTTCATTGCTATTGCACATTTCGTTAACAGCTTTCCAGAGGTTCGTAGCATTATCCGAATTTTCGTTTATTATATTTTCGTAATATTCTTTTTTTGTTTTCTGAATGAGCTTGTCAAGTTTTCTTTTATAAGTTTTATATTCAGTTTCTATATTTGTATCATTAGGGTATTTTTTCAGTTTCATGTACATAATATTTTTCTTTTTAATGGACTGGATCAGGGATCCAGTAATCCACTTCTTGCGTTTTCGTTCATGTCTTTTGATAGGTATAAATACTGTGCAATCTTTCAGTTTGTTTTGAAGTGTTTTCACAAATTTCTCAGTACATTCATCGATATCATCAGTAGTGTATATATCCTGCCAGTTAGTTTCTTTAATTTTATCAATGAACTCTTTTTCTTTAACTCTTTCAATACTTTGCCTTTCGATTTTACACTTCTCGATTTTTTTTACAGTTATTAGTTGAGCTAATACTATATTTATGATGATCCGTAATATCAGAAGGCATAACAACAGGTATAATATTTTCAATGTATTGAGGAGTGGTTTTTATAAAAATATGGTCCAGGCATGCTGATTCTCTAGTAGGTTCATTAATTACTGGTATATATCCGTATTCAGATAGTGTCGTTAAATAATCATTCACTCTATTGTTATCTTTTTCAAGTATGTTGACATTGATGTCCCCAATGATAATATTATATTCAGATTGTTCTTGCAATTGATTTTCTAAGTAAGTTTGGAGATTGATATTAAATTGATCTATATAGGACTGTAATGTCTTTGAAAGCATTAAAGAATCTATCTATCTATCTTATCAAGTAACATTGATCAAATAACAATTATTAATTAACAAGTGATGAGAATATCGACCATTATGCAAACCAAATTAACAATTAATGGATTAATAATACGCGAGCGCACTTGTCCTAAATCTGTACTATCAAAGCAATAACCTTACAAATGCGTTGTTCACAATTTACATAAGGAGCTAGAATTTCGAATTTCATGATGTTTTCTGATCTGGAAGAGACTGGGTTACTTTTATTCACAATTATCCTGTTAACTGCAATTGTTTTATGTTGAGACAAATTTAATTATATCTGTCAGATATCAGGTCTGACATTGGTCTGACCAATCCATGCCTTCTCTACCAAACCAATCAGCGATCATCTGCGTACCTGGTTCAATCAAAGTAAGAAAGTTGAAAGTAGAAACTTCTTACTTGTTACTTGTTGATTGATAATTGTTAAATGTCTGCATAAACACCTTCATTGAAAACAGGAAGTTCCACTTTCAATTGCTACTTCTTAAATGATAAATGTTACTTGATAATTGATTTAATATAATGCATAGAGAAGAAAATTTTGGTGGGTGTATAGTTTGTGGGTTTAGATGAGCCAAGACATCATATAAGACAAGTTCGCCAATCACCAGGAGAATATAAATATTTGTCATATTAAATAAGTCGTCTATCGAATCCACAAAATCACAGAAAAAAGAT